AATCGCGGTAACAATGCACGTCACGAATTCGATACGCCTAGGTGTGAACCCAGCCTTAAATGTGTCCTTGATGCCCAGGGTTCACAGTAAGTGGTTTGAATGAGACTGGGTCTCATTCAACCCAGAAAAAAGCCAAGAGTGGGGGAGAACACTGGGGACTGCACTGAAGCATAGAGAAAGTAAGTAGTGCTTTATAAACAATTTTACCGGACCAAGTATTATACCTGGAGTTAGTCTTTTAAGAATCCATTTTGGATATTGAAAAAACAATGGATAGATCTGCTCACACTCCTTTCTCCTCTTGCAGCACACCTTATGGGCTCCTAGCACTACACCTCCTTCACTCATTCTGAGTGCTACAGGGACATTGCAGGATTATTCCAAGGCAACTGCAGATGCTTACACTGGTTGCATTAAAAAATTCATTATTTGTGAATATTGAGGTATATTAAAGGGACACTAAACTCAGATGGTAAATCTTAAAAATACATTAAATTACCCTATTAACAAAAATGTATCTTATTTGTGTATCACTCGGCTGCAGATCCTCAAATCATCTCTGAATTGGTGCTGACACTCCTTCCTTCTGGAAGTTGGCTAATTTTGTTCCCCATGGTCCCTGTGTGTGTTGTAAAGTAGCCATCACTCCAAGTTTGCTCCCGTGATAGACTACAATCTCACGTTTTAGTTTACTAATTTGTATTGAGATTGTAGTCCATCACTTGAGTGAACTTGGAGCAGTCACTACTTTACAACATCTACAGGGACCACGGGGAACAAAAGTAGCCACCCTCCAGAAGGAAGGACAGTATCTGCATGAATTCAGAGCTGATTTGAAGATCTTCAGCCAGAGTCGTACACAAATATGTTAGATTTTAATTTATAGGATACTTGCTTGCATTTTTTAGCTTTAACTCCTGAGTTTAGTGTAACTTTAATTTGTCTGGTATGTTTTCCTAGAGTTCAGCTTTAAATTTCATCTAAGTGGGAAAAAAACATACAATGTCTTGAATATACAGACATGCAGATTTTTGAGCAACAATCTTGGAAGTTATGTATAGCTTTTTGCTTGCAGATTACTTTCTTGTTGCAGTGTTTCCTTTGTATGGGTTCCATATCCTTACTGTTTCACACCAGGTCTGTTGGGCAGCATTTTCTAACACCAGTGCAATGCAAAGGCCAGACATCAAGCCTTTCTTTGCCTAGGACCTGTTCACACCATTGCACTGTGTTTTGTGTGCTGCGATAAAATGATGCAGGCAAAATGTTGCTGCAACACAGCACAATGTAATGGGCTTGAATGAAATGTATTATTTTGAAACTTGAATAAAGTGTTATTTTGTGACAATATATATAAGAAAAAAATAAGCCGTGTGATGTGCTGTCACAGTGCATCTCACTGCACTATACAGCCTTTTCACATCACACACCAACTAGCACTAAATCAAAATGTAATCTTTCACTTAAGGTGGCCATACACTGTACAACCATCGCAAGAGCTTAGTCTTGCGATGGTTGTAAAGTGATTCAAAAAACGTACAATCTGCCCATCTTGGACAGGCAGATCGCACTCTCGATCATCGCAAGCCCTTCCCCCTGAAGGGCGGGCTTCCGATGACCGCAATGCTGAACGGGCAGTGTGCGCGTGCGCACACCGGCCCGTTCGGCATTTGTCTCCCGAGCACTGTTCAAACCAGCCAAAAATCGTACGATTCTCGGCTGGTTTTCTAACATGCTCCTTAGACAAAAGACGTGCGACCGTACAGTAGATACGGTCGCACGTCTTCATTCACACTGTTCGATTCTCGTACGATCGCGGGATTTCCCCCGATTCTCGTAGGAGAATCGAGCAGTGTATGGGCACTTTTCATGGTGATTTTATGATTAGATGATGTGTCAGGCCTGCCAAGAGGTCCCACCTGTCACACCAATTTCCTGACCAGTAGTCTTGTTGTTCTTGTGCCAGGTGGAGTGACTGATGGGAATCTCAAACCTGGGAGATACAGGGACCTAGTGAGAGAAGTGCAGGCAGATCAGAACCAGCAATAATATAACAATAGTAAAAGAGCAAATCACAGTATGGTGTCAGCCAGGAATCCAATAGTACAAAAGACAGGAGTACCTAGGACGCACAGGGCAGAACCTATACTTGGGCAACAACAGGAAGAGGAGGGCAGTATTTTTAGGTGACTGATTAGGTAACTTCCTGCAGCTGACCAGTAGGTGGGGTCAGAGCCCCATACAGTGTAAGTAGATGGAACTGAGAGGTCAGCACCAAATCGGAGCCCTCCGGTGGCTCCAGAAGTAGGCAAACGACCCAGAGGCTGAAGGTCCCTGGATCAAACAGGCAGCCGTGACGAGATGAACTTGTGTTTCAGGCTTGGGCAATGAAAAGATTTAACCTTTAGTGTCTGTCCTCTTTTTAACAGTTTCTGTGGTTCATGTAGAAAAAGAAAATACATTGTTTTTAAAGGGAACCAATCACACTTTGCATGACTCAGTAGGTTCCCAATATGTCCGCATGAACAAATCACATTATTTCAACTAAGAATAGTACCTCTTCTTTTTTGTGACCTAAAGCAAATATCATTTTGAGGCCTACAGGGTTATTCACTAAAGGGTGAAGACCGGAGAAGTGAACAATCTAGGACAACATAGCTGAACTGGAAAGTGAGCTGAATTGTATCTGGCTCTATTCTCTGTATACCAGGAGCACTATACATTTTTCTTGTTTCACAGAAGTTAAGGTGCCCATACACTGTTTGATTTCTGTTCGAAAATCTTCCACTTATGGTCTTTCAAACGAAATGCGAATAATTGATGGGACACCAATGATTTTTTTTTTTATTTTTTTTTACTGTAATCCTGCTAAAATTTTCTCGAAGGGTGATGCTGGAAAACTTTTTTCGAATCGAACGAAGATCGATGGATTAGTGGCATTTTCGTACAGAAAAAAGTGCACCAAGAACACTGCACATGCGCAAACGAAAATTTGCTATGTCGATCGACAAAATTCGAGAACTTAGTATTGCTAACTCACGATTATTGAAATCGACATTTGTCTGTGCTTGATGGGCTATTTGAGCTACAGTCGAATGAGGGTTTTTGGCCGCAATGAAAATTTAGGATCGAAAATCTATAGGTGTATGCCCATACACCTTATGAATATCGGTTGAATTTCGTTTGCAATCGCGTTTTTGTCTACTATAAGTAAGGTTGATGGGCAGTGTACAACCGCAAATACTGTACAATCGTACGACTTTTGGTTTTCCAGCAGGTTAGAAAACTTCCCGTCGACTTGTACGATTTTCGCAAGGTTGGTGGCGTTTCTGTACGTCAAAATTCGTACGATTTAACACTGCTCATGCGCAAACAAAAAATCTGTGCGGTCGATTTAACGAAAATCGCCCAGGTGATCTCTGCTAAATACCAATAATTGAACTGTGCGATGGTCAGGGCAGGATGGGGCCGCCGTACGGTTGCAATATATATTGGCACCTTAAGTCTGTTTTAATATCAGAGACTTGCACTAGTAGGGCCTTAATATCTAATGGGCAGCATGGTTGCCCCATGTATATTTAGAATTGCGACAATGCTATTGTGACATAGATTAA